TGTTTCTTATTTCTTTTTTTTTCTCACTTTGTGTTTGAAAAAAAATCAAATTGCAAATGAAAAATATGTTCCAATGTCTGTAACACATAATTGTAAAGTTAGGCTAACCTTATCTTTTGGGGGCGTTCCTGTCAATAATGCTGGGTAGTTTGGCGGGAATGCGTACTCGTCATATTGTGGGAAGTTTGTTGAGGCGTGTGACACACTGCATGTAAATATGATTGACGTAAGAACTGTGTACAGCTGGTCCTTTGATGAGAAGTTGCCATTTCCTGGAATACCCTGTAAATATATAAAAATTATTATAAAGACGACTTTTGTATTGACCTTCGTTTTAAGACCATTTTGTCATAACCTGTAATTATGACCAAAAAGACACAATAATTCTAGTGTTTAATAGAACTTGCAACTACAAGAAATAAAAATAAAAAGTCATTCAAGAGAGGTATGTTTCTGTAACAATTTTGGACAGTTTTATGGGCCTTGGTCAGTGACTTATGATAATGACCCAGATAACTTGTGGAGTTCAAATGAAATTTATTGAATATGAAATGGAAAATGAGATACAAAGTTATAGTTGCAAAATCTTTACAAAGTCGATACACAGGCAGTAATACAGTAATAGTAGCCGCAGTTAATCTTAAAACATAAATTAACAACCATTGCTATTACAGTTTAAAACCACACTGACACATCAGAATTGTTTTTTTTTTGTTCTGAAAAACAGCTAGAGAGTAAATGTCCATTGACCTACCAGAATTCCGCAGCCACCTTTTTCTCTTTCCTTAACTAGCTCAGCTCCCCAGCCTTGTAACTCCCAGTCACCAGTGATCTTATCTACAGTATCTGTAATAAATCATAGAAAAATGTAAGAATTGATAACAACAAGGACCGTCCATACCATTTGACTTTTAGGGACAATTATTTGCAACATTTGAAAGTAAAATAGGAAACAGTTGTCTGGAAGCTAAAAAAAGAACATCACATTCATTGTCAAAATGACATAAAATATAAATAAACTTTACTAAAGAACAAGCATGCAAAATCCATTCATTCTGGCATTTTTTTAAACAATTTACAAAATCTCAGATCACATGACACGTTTCATGACATTCTATATTTATTGCCCTTACCATAGTATAAGTCTACATATTTCTTCACATAAGAGTTAATGGCATTGTATAATAAGAGTGCATCGTCACGGAAATGGTAACCCGGCAACACTGAATGATGTAGAAGCTGGAAATTGAAATTTGTATTGTATAATTTAAGCAATGAATGGCAAGACTAAAACTATATTCAATACAATAATAATAAAATATAAATAATGCAATTAAGCTATCAGCACAAATGTATATAGTCTGCACTCTCTAGCTTCCAGTATTTAATCATGATATCTCATTACTAAAAGTATATACCTAATGGTTAAGGTATCAGTCTTGCAGCCGAACAAGATTTCACATATGACACCATTACTGTTCACCAACGGGAATTTCTATACATTTCGATCAGAACGTATCACTCATGTTAAATTATTAGGTTAAGGTTGTTGTTGTTTTGTATTTGTATTGTTTCATTTTTTAATATCAATTATTGGTCTGTCAGTCATAACTAGAACTGTGTCCAAAGGACACGGATGCCCCCACTGACAACATATATATGGTATATAGTGAAAAAATCAACAAAGGGCCATAATTCTGTTAAATTTGGTTGCAGCAAAAATTCCTTCCTTTACTACCATCTACACATTAAGGTTGTTCATCCCTGTTAGTTTAAGCAAAATCTACCATCCGGTTTAAGAGGAGTTGCGTTCACAAAATTTCTATATGGTATATAGTGAAAAAATCAACTAAGGGCCATAATTCTGTTAAATTTGGTCGCAGCAAAAATTCCTTCCTTTACTACCATTTACACATTAAGGTTGTTCATCCCTAGAAGTTTAAGCAAAATCTGCCATCCGGTTTAAGAGGAGTTGCGTTCACAAAATTTCTAAATGGTATATTGTGAAAAAATAAACAAAGGGCCATAATTCTGTTAAATTTGGTCGCAGCAAAAATTCCTTCCTTTACTACCATCTACACATTAAGGTTGTTCATCCCTAGAAGTTTAAGCAAAATCTGCCATCTGGTTTAAGAGGAGTTGCGTTCACAAAATTTCTACATAGTATATTGTGAAAAATCAACAAAGGGCCATAATTCTATTAAATTTGGTCGCAGTGAAAATTCCTTCCTTTACTACCATCTACACATTAAGGTTGTTCATCCCTGAAAGTTTAAGCAAAATCTGCCATCCGGTTTAAGAGGAGTTGCGTTCACAAGATTTCGGGACGTACCGACAGACGGACGGACGGACGTACGTACGGTGTGACGGACGGATGGACGGACGGACGGACAAGTGCAACGCTAAAAAGTTAATCTTTTGGAATATAAAACCAATATAAAACCAATTCAACTAAATTTGACAGTAAAAAATGATTAAATGTCACTTATACTAACCCCTCGTTTTTTAAGATCCTCTGGCAAAGTTCCTTCAACATCCATTCGCCAAGAATTAAGCCTACAAAAGAAAGTGTCATCCAATTAAATGTAATAATAATCTATAAATAAGCATACTTTGACAGAATTACAAAAAAAAGAATGTCTTTTAAATTTACAATAATTTATGAAAATAATTTACAATAAATTACAAAAATTAGTCAGTGAACTGTAACAAATGTTTTATTTATTTACTTGACAATATTAATTAAAAAATAACATGTATTCACACAATCAATTAACATTCATTAGAAGCCTAAATTTTAAGATTTCATCAGCTTTAACAATAAATCACTTGCATACCACTTTAATCAAAACCATTTGTCAACTGTGACAAGTTTAGACCACCTTGTAAAGCAAGAAACCTTTGGTAAGCCATATGAAACATTATTTCACATCGTATCGAAATAGACAACAAAATATCTCTAGCAAGCTATTAACATACCCTCGTCTGATAAGCTCAAACATTCCTTTGATCCCAATATTCATAGTTTTATCTACCCAGCCATTTGGTGACACAAGTAACTCTAAACCTCGTCTGTAAAAAAACAAAGCCTTCATTATACATGTACATAAATTGCTTCAAAATTGTTGCTACATTACATTAATTTAATGGGCACTGATTTATTTGAATACTCATCATATCATGCTAGCGCTCAAATACTTAATTGCTTAATATTTGTAGTGAGAAAATTTATTTAATTAAGTCTGTAATGTGACTGTGCCGCACCAGACAGAGTAAATTAACACTGACTAATAAAAGTTACACACTAAATTTACTTAATGCAAGATTACTCCACTTTTTTAGCAGTGAAATGGTTATAGGCAAAGGCTCAGTTATCAACCTGTACACATTAAACAATATGAATTTCATATTATAAATAATAGAACTGGCACCTTATCATTTTATAATCTGTTAGTATGTTTATCATATTCAATTTATTGAGCAAAATAATAATTTATACACAAAATATTACTTTCATAGATAGAAAAAGACTCCTTGGGACTAGATATTTCAAACATTTTCCATAAAACTGATGAGTTTGAATTTGTGTGCCAATTAATTTACTTTAATTGGCCATTATTCTCGTCATTGCCAAAACATAGGATTTGACTGTTAAAATAAATTAAGTGCATGTATATATACATGTATATATCTAAATTCACAGAAAGCACAAGAGAATTCAAGAGTTTGGTGCAAAACAGCTGTAACTCATATTACATAATGAAGGAGTTACGTCCGTTTCGCACTATCCATCGAGATTCAGGAGCATCAAAAAAAGTAATTTCTTGTTGGTTGAGTTTCAAGTCATAATAACCCACATAGTAATAATCACATGTAAACTTGCTAGCTTTACTGGCAGGCAATTTATTTGATGCACATATAGGAACAAAAGCAGTTCTACCAGCATTTGTGTAAACTACCTGAGATAGCTTACTTACATAAAAGAATCAAAAGTCTTAAAATGCCAAGATTTTTTAAAACGCACAGTCAGGTAAAGAGCAATCAAAACAGATCACATATATAAGATATCAGTACATTAATATACTTACGTATTGATGGCTATTAGGTAGAGGAAATGAGGTGCTAGAAGTTTGAACAGAGGATGAGATTGTGAGAGATTTCTATGAGTGACAACTGTGACACCCTCCATCAATAAATGGGTGAACCCTGAAATACAGAATGAACGTAATATTCAATAGTGTTACCAAAAAAAACATTTACAATAAGATTACACTTAAGCTATGAAAAAGTTCAATGGTAGGTAACTCAAAAAACAAGATTCCCCCACCCCTATTTTTTTTCTCTTTAAATGTTTCAGTAACCATATTTTAAAGTACTGGAATGTTTAGATAAATTCTAAGAATAAGATTTTCCATATATATATATGTGGTCTTGAAAGTGTAGCATTTTAACTTCCATTGACCTAAATTCTTGAATGTTTATTTTCTTATCTGTGTGAAACCTTCAATATATTATTAGGTATGGGCTAACAAGTATCTCAGTCTACATTAACAAATGACCTGTTCATACTTATAAAGCTTTTAAGATGTCTACAGTAGAGTTTGCCATGAAATAAATGCATGAAATATGAATAAACCTTTTATCTTATTGCACTTACAGTTCACACATGCAGGTAAAATATCAGTATTTACAATAACATAGCTCTCTGTGCCCAGACAGTCAATACATTTTATTTAATCTATACCATAGTGACCCTAAATATGTTAAAAGAACTTGTCTATCTTTCAATATGGAGAGAACCAGTTATCATTTTTAGGGACAATGCCAACATCAGTACTGACTGGATAGTGAGCAGTACAGATCATAATAGAATTACACCAAATGCCATGGTTGGCTGAGTACGGCCTACACTGGTGACACATGGGTAAATCCAGTAAATTCTTTTCTTTTGTTGAATGACCACATGACATAAGATATATTCAAACAAGAACTGTGACATAGAATTGTTATGATAAGTAAGAAATGTCCTACTTTTCTTAACATAGTAAAGCTAAAATTAAAGAACTAATTCAAAATCAGTAAAGATAAGTATCTCATTGGTCAATTTAGACAACAAAAAAACCCACTCAAATATCATCATAGCCAGAAATGTGTCTATATAACACAAATACCCCCAAATACAACAATATGTATTTTGTCAGTGTATGGACAGACAGTTTGACAGATTGGCAAGGGCAAATCTATATGCCCGCCCCCTCACCCTTTCAGTCTGTTGTTGGAGGCTTGAAATACTATGCAGACCCAAAAGTGAACAGCTATGCTGTTGAATGACTAAATTTAAAGTTTGATCCTCATAGTCCAAATATGGAAGCTTGACAAATCTGTTCTAAAACTTCAGCAGGTCCAGTGTTAACAACAACATTAATTTTAGCAGATCTTATTACCAAGCAGAGCTGATGACTTACCTAAATGAGTGAGTGATTGATGAACATTGGCATCTGCATTGTTGAACCACATTTTTGCTGTCATCCACACATAAGGAGGATCGTCGGGCAAAAACACCTGAAAATACAGGTAAACAAGAGGGCCATGATGGCCCTGAGTTGCTCACCAGAAACAACTGCTTTTCAGTGTTGGAATGTCAATATATTCTAATATTAAATTTGAGCATAGAATGTTTAAACAATAATTTGAAGAAATGCCATGACCTGGGGCATTTAAGCTTTAGCGTAAACGGGGCTAATCAAATTAATATGAGCAAACTTGATAAAAGACTACCTAAGAATGCTACAAAGTTTGGTGATCATCTATCAATTATTTCAGTAGGAAATGATTTTCGAAGGCTTTTTCGATTTAAGCTTTAGTGGCCCCTATAAGGGGCTAATCAAATTAATATAAGCAAACTTGATAAAAGAGTACCCAAGAATGCTACAGACAAATTTGGTGACCATCCATCAATTTGTTCTGAAGTAGAAGATGTTTAAAGGTTTTTTCTATTTTTAGCTTTAGCGGCCCCTTAAAGGGACCAACCAAATTAATAAGAGCAAAATTGATAAAAGATTACCCAAAAATGCTACAGACAAAGTTTGGTGATCATCTATTAATTAGTTCTGTAGGAAAAGATGTTTAAACGTATTTCTATTTTTAATTTTAGCAGCCCCAAAAAGGGGCTAATCAAATTAATATGAGCAAACTTAATAAAAGACTATCCAATAATGCTACAGACAAAGTTTGGTGATCATCCATCAATTAGTTCTGTAGCAATAGACGTTTTAATGTATATCTGTTTTTAATTTAAGCGGCCCCTAAAAGGGGCCAATCAAAATAATATGAGCAAAACTGATAGAAGACTACCCAACAATGCTTCAGACAAAGTTTGGTGATCATCCATCCATTAGTTCTGTAGAAAAAGACATTTAAAGGTATTTCTATTTTTAGCTTTAGTAGCCCCTAAAAGGGGCCAATCAAATTCATATGAGCAAACTTGATAAAAGACTACCCAAGAATGCTACAGACAATGTTTGGTGATCATCCATCCATTAGTTCTGTAGAAGAAGATGTTTAAATGTTTTTCTATTTTTAGCCCTAGAGACCCCTAAAAGGGGCCAATTAAATTAATATGAGCAAACTTGATAAAAGACTACCCAAGAATGCTACAGACAAAGTTTGGTGATCATCCAATAATTAGTTCTGTAGAAGAAAACGTTTAAAGGTTTTTCTATTTTTAGCTCTGCTGACCCCTAAAAGGGGCCAATTGGAATGACATGAGCAAATTCAAGTGTGACTGTCACAAGGATGCTACAAACCAAATTTGAAGTAAATCTGCTAGGTAGTTTCAGAGAAGACGATTGTTGACGCATGACGACGGACGACGGACGATGGACGCCTGAGCATCCCCCTTTGATACTAATAGCTCACCCTGAGCCTTCGGCTCTGGTGAGCTAATAACATTAACAGTGCATGCACAAGTTACTTATTGTTGCATTATTCCCTTGCAGAAGTTACTGGTAATTTTCCAGGAATTTACTGGGAAATCCCAGGAACATTTACTGGGATAATTCCTAAGAAATGCAAGGAAATCTGAGGAATTCTCAGTTACTGGTTGGCGGTAATTGGAACGACTGAAAAATACTGGTAATAACTAGGAAAACTGTGAAACCAGGAATGCCTTAGATCGACTTGTAGTGGAAAATCCTAATTACTGAGAATGACCTGCCCACGGTATTTTGAACATTTTTCTAGTCAGTCCGAGGCATTTCAAGAACCTATGATATACCAGTAACTCCTGGTATTTTCATAATCTTAGGAATGACTGAGAATGACCTGCCCACAGTATTTGGAACATTTTTTCTAGTCATTCCTTGGCATTTCAAAGAACTTGGATATCCCAGTAGTTCCTGGTATTTCCATGATCTTAGGAATGGCTGGAATTGTCATAGGATTGCATTGTACTGGAAATTCCTAGCCTCTGGGTATAACTGGACCATGTTACTAGGGCCACCAAAGGATCATTACGATGAAAATCAAATAATCAGTTTTGTAGGAGATATCATTACAAGAAATTGCTGACAATAGAAGATGCCATTGGACACAGGGCAATCACATTACTTCACATAAGCACATTGTACTGACGTGAACTAAAATGTGCACTTTTAAATCCTTTCTTTCGATAATAAGCATCTTAAATGCTTTAAAACCATTATTAAGAAGTTATTAAATTCACCTTTCCGAAAATGGATAATTTTCTTCGTTTAAGAGTCGTAATGTGCCTTTGATCATTCTGACATTTCGCAGAACTGATAAAAGAAATCGTGCTCTAAATCTATTAATAAAACATCATCAAACACATGTTTGACATTTTCCTAAAGAAATTAATAATTATGGATTTCTGAGACATGGTGTGCATTTAACCTTTTACCCCATGAGCATATTGCGAAAAATGGCCGTTTTCATTGAAAAGCCTCCTGTAACAAGTTCAAACTGCTATAATACTGATGAAACTTGGCACAAATGTTGACTACACCATAGTCTCTGTAACAGCATGCTCAATCGTCTCAAAATTGCCAAAAATCACTATTTTGCATTGTTTTTTTTCCATCAAAACTGATTTCAAAGTGCTGCAACTTCTCAATGAATTGAGATAGAGTAAAAGGCTTTTCAACGTCGGTTACTAGTTACCCTAAGACCGACCTGAGGCCATTTTTAGCCTGTCACATGTCCAAAATTTTCTTTGCACATCCCCCTTCTGGCAACCCCCTGATGTAACATTTGGATGGGGGACCGCGCCGAAAAAGTGGTCACTTTTTTTAACAACATTTCTCAAACGAAAACCAGTGTTTGGGGCCTAAATAGGGCATTTTTTCACTGTTTGAGGCCTCAAAAACACGCTTATATGAGGGAAAAGGTTAACTGGTAATTATTGGCATTTATGGGCGTTTTTAGAGTATATAATTTGGTCATTTTAATGTTTACCAAATACAATATCTGGTAAATCATACAAATGTCGATTATCAAAAACAGTTAATAGCCTAACTAGTTAGTCAGATGTTCATTGTGAAAATTTAATGTTTTGCTCTCGGCAGAAATATGCCACCATACAAACCAGTCATTCTAATTCATTTTTTTTTTGTTTCTGATCACATGACAATTAAATATACTATTGCCATCTTGCAACAAAAAATCTCATAATAATACGGCAATGGATTTGTTCTTGTTCTTTTATCTTTTAGAAATCCGAACAGCTGTGCATATTATATTAAATTCATATCATAAAACTCAAGGAGTAAAAAGAGAAAGTAATATGAATGTATATATGTATAGCTGACCATATATAGTCTCAATGACAAATGAAAATCACCTGATAATTAATCTAATTATAGGCTAACCAATTGGAATTGTCCACACAGGAACAATACTTCCATTATGGATATATAAGAGAGAGTTTCTGCGGCAAGCTCACATTGCCTGATCCTCTTTCTTCTAAACCAGCAAGGATGACTCTCAGAATGGAGCAGATTTATACCGTGATTGCTGCCTGTGTTATAACTAGTATAAATGGAGGTAAGGGATTTTTAAACGTAAATAAAATCACATGGTAATAGCAACTTTTTAAAGATAACAGACATTATTATTTTGCTCTTCTGTAGATTACTAAGATAGTACATGATTCTCAAGATTAGTGTACAGTAATATCTACTGCTCACTTTTCAAAAGAGCTAAACTATTTATTTCTTTTTCAATATAGCACAAAAATATTTATTACAATGTTATACATTACACATGCATGCGTTTAAATAGATAAATATTCAATAGATCGTAAAAATATATATATAAAGTTATTTTTAATGCTTTTCCGTAGGTTACTGAAATATTAGTTGCTCATTTTTCAGTACAGCTAGGAAATATTTATTAGATATACGTACGTTCAATAGATAGACGAAATGAATTATTTATTTCTCAATATACTGCTAACATTTACATTTTTTAAGATTATTTTGATAAACATAGTGAATACATCCTTGGTATCGGAAGGGAGAAAGTTAAACCGGTGACCGAGAAAGTGTATCTAGGCGAGCCTTAGCGAGCCAATATTCACTTTCGTAACGAACCGGATTAACCTTTTTCGTCCCGACAACAACCATGCATGTATTCGATTAATTCTGCTTCTATTTAGTTAAAACATGGTGTTTTTTTTAGATAATGTAAACGGTTTCATTCTTACTTTTCCCCAAATAAAACAGCGTCTACATGTATTTTATGTAGATAAGTTTATCCGGCAAGGTTTATCCAGCTAATAATATAGACAGTAGCGGGAACACATTACCATAATCATGATAATTAGGAAATGAAAGAAAAAATGGGAGCACCACATGTTTTTTACCAGTGTAGATGCATATTGATATTTCATAAACTTTGTTACTATTACTGATTGAATGTTAACTTTAGAATGCATTGAAGCCCCATCATACAGCGGTACTCTGAACGTGACACTGGGCGGATATACATGCCAGCGCTGGGACAGTCAACAACCTCACCAACATACAAGGAACATTTTCAATCGCTTCCCGAATGACGCTTCCGTAAAAGCTGCCAATAACTATTGTAGAGACGTTGATGGAAGTTGTAAGTCCACACTTACGATCACTACGTATATTGTATCTATTTATAATTTTTTTTTAAAATTTAGAACATTTATATTTTAACAAAATAAAGTTTTCAGTATTTGTTCAGAAATTATTGTAAGATAGAAGCAAGAAAGCGGACAAAAAATAACAATGTTTACTGCATTGTATACTGATTAAGTTGTTTGGTCTATAATGGGCACATTTTCCTGAAGTATTTCGAATAGTATTACATACAAAATATAAATGTATCGTCTGGATATTCGTATAAAATATATTTTTGTAAAAGAGTTCTAAGTGATTTATATGATGAATAATGATACGACCATGAAAATTGGTTGGCGGCATCAAGTGGTTTATGAAAGAAGTTAATGTATCATCATGTACATTTTGAATGGCGGGAAGAGGGCGGTGTGTGACTTAATTAAGGGAACGATTGGG